TTGCACGAGGATTCCCCCTCGCAAGAGGATCTGGCCACACCACGAGGAAAGACCCAGCCTCAAGTCAAGACCAAGCCTTGCACGAGGACCCGGGCTCGCACAAGGGTCTGGTCTTGCACGAGGAGTGGGGCACTGGGAAAGACCTGGCCTTGCACGAGGATTCCCCCTCGCACGAGGATCCGGCCACAAGGGAAGACCCGACCTCAAGTCAAGACCAAGCCTTGCATGAGGACCCGGCCTTGCACGAGGATCTGGTCTTGCACGAGGATCCCCCATCACATGAGGACTTGGCCACAAGCAAAGACCCGGCCTCGCACGAGGACTTGGCCTCATACAAGGATCCGGCCTTGCACGAGGATCTGGCCGCGAGGAAAGACCCAACCTCAAGTCAAGACCAGGTTTTGCACGAGGACTCGGCCTCACACGAGGATCTGGCTTCATTGGAGGACCCGGCTTTGCACGAGGATCAGGACACGAGGAAAGACCCAGCCTTGCACGAGGACCCAGCCTCAAGCAAAGACTCAGCCTTGCACGAGGATCTCCCATCACATGAGGACGTGGCCACAAGCAAAGACCCGGCCTCACACGAGGACCCGGCCTTGCACGAGGATCAGGGCACAAGGACAGACCCAGCTTTGCACGAAGACCCGGCCTCATACAAGGATCCACGCTCGCACGAGGGTCTGGTCTTGCACGAGGAGCGGGACGCTAGGAAAGACCAGGCCTCGCACGAGGATCCCCCCTCGCACGAGGATCCGGCCGCGAGGGAAGACCCGACCTCAAGTCAAGACCAAGCCTTGCACGAGGTCCCGGCTTCGCACGAGGATCTGGCTTCACTTGAGGACCCGGCTTTGCACGAGGATCAGGACACGAGGAAAGACCCAGCCTCGTATGAGGATCCAGCCTCCAGCAAAGACCCGGCCTTGCACGAGGACCCGGCCTCATACAAGGATCCAGCCTCGCATGGGGATCTGGCTTCACACAAGGACCTGGCCTTGCACGAGGATCTGGTCTTGCACGAGGATCCCCCATCACATGAGGACTTGGCCACAAGCAAAGACTTGGCCTCATACAAGGATCCGGCCTTGCACGAGGATCTGGCCACGAGGAAAGACCCAACCTCAAGTCAAGACCAGGCTTTGCACGAGGACTCGGCCTCACACGAGGATCTGGCTTCATCTGAGGACCCGGCTTTGCACGAGGATCAGGACACGAGGAAAGACCTGGCTTTGCACGAGGATTCCCCCTCGCACGAGGATCTGGCTTCACTTGAGGACCCGGCTTTGCACGAGGATCAGGACACGAGGAAAGACCCAGCCTTGCACGAGGACCCAGCCTCCAGCAAAGACACAGACT